TCACTTGTTTCAGCAATTATCAACCCATAGCCCATCTCGTTTCATCTATGTCTACCCACCTACCCATCCCTGGATTGTTTTTGAAGAAAATCCTGGACATTGTACAATCTCATTGGTGAATATTCCAGAATATAACTCTAAAGCATGTCTGCAAAAGATAAGGACTGTTTTTAAAAAACAAAAACATAACCACCATGCCATTATTACCCTTAATTAACAATTCTTAATCTGAACACCGACTGGATATTTGATTTCCCTGATTGTCCCATGATGGGCTTTTTTTCAGGTTGTCCAGTTCAGGATCTGAATATGGTCTGTACATTGCAACTAATTGTTGTGTCCCTTAAGTTTCTTTTTTTTTTTCTTTTTTTCTTTTTTTTTGCGGTACGCGGGTCTCTCACTGTTGTGGGCTCTCCCGCTGTGGAGCACAGGCTCTGGACGCTCAGGCTCAGCGGCCATGGCTCACGGGCCCAGCCGCTCCTCAGCATTTGGGATCTTTCCGGACCGGGGCACGAACCCGTGTCTCCTGCATTGGCAGGCGGGCCCTCAACCACTGTGCCACCAGGGAAGCCCCCCTTAAGTTTCTTTAGTAGGTAGGTGCCTTTGCCAACTCTTTTTTTCTTTGCTGTTTCTTTGTTGACAAAACAAGGGCATTTGCCCTATAGTTTCCCACTATCTAGAATTGCTATTTGTATCCACACACATTGTTTAATGTGTCCCTCTGTCCCACATATTTTCTGTAAATTGGTAGTTAGACTTAGTGGCTTGATCAGAATGACGTCTGTTACTTTCGACAAGAATACATTATGATGACTGTCCCTTTATTTTTAATCTACAGCCACCAGATTGTCCTCCCACAATTACATGGTATTTAGTTAGAAGATGGTTTTTCTGCGTGTCTTAAGATAGGAGGTAGTCAAACACCTCACTCGATTTTTCAAAACATGTTTGTATTGGTTTTCTACTGCTGCTATAATAAATTAGCACAGACTTAGGGACTTAAAATACAAGTTTATTATCTTATAGTTCTGTAGCTCAGAAGTTCCGTACAGATGCTACTGGGCTACGATCAAGGTGTTGGCAGGGCTGGGTTCTCTTCTGGAGGCTCCAGGGGAGGATTCATTCCCTTTTCCAGCTTTTAGAGGCTACCCACATCTCTTGGCTCCGGACACCTTTAGTCTTCAGTGCCAGCAAGTTGCATCTCTCTGACCCTTCTTCATGCCTCCCTCTGACCACAGCTGGGAAAGATTCTCTGTTTTTAAGGACTCACGTGATTAAACTGGGCCCACCTGGATAATCCAGAGTCATCTCCCATCTCAAATTCCTTACCCTTAATCACATCTGCAGAGTTTCTTTTGCCCTGTAAGGTCATATATTCACAGGTTCCCGGGATTAGGATGTGGACGTCTTTAGGGGGCCATTATTCTATGTAGTGCAGTGGTCATCCAGCTTTTAAAGTCAATACCATTATAAAATTGAAGAATGATTAATAGAGTATGGTATGTTGCAAATGATCTGTTGTGATTTCAATGATTTAGGGTATCGATAAGGTAGGATAGATTATAGTAATGAGCTGTGATTACAGCGTCGTAGTAGTTTTACATGGTTCTGGGTGGCTGTCTGCATGGGTCTTGATAATCGTTGATATTTTTGCAAGTAGCAGCATTTTATTTTGTTCACTGGCTCTAAGATGACCACACTGCCTCCCCTTAGAAATGCTGCTTTAAGATTTGTAGAAGCTCAGAAAATAGTACAAATGAACTTATTTACAAAACAAATAGTCACAGATAACAAACTGTAACAAATTTATGGTTACCAAGGGGGAAAGGGAGCAATAAATTGGGAGATAGGGATTGACATATACACACTACTGTATATAAAATAGATAGCTAATAACAACCTAGTGTATGGCACAGGGAACTCAATACTCTGTAATGACCTATATGGGAAAAAAATCTAAAAAGGGGCTTCCCTGGTGGCGCAGTGGTTGAGAGCCTGCCTGCCGATGCAGGGGACACGGGTTCGTGCCCCCAGTCCGGGAAGATCCCACATGAGCGGCTGGGCCCGTGAGCCATGGCCGCTGAGCCTGCGCGTCTGGAGCCTATGCTCTGCAACGGGAGGGGCCACAGCTGTGAGAGACCCGCGTACCGCAAAAAAAAAAAAATATATATAAAGGAGTAGATATATGTATATGCATAACTGATTCACTTTGCTGTACAACAAAAACTAAACATTATAAATCAACTATACTGCAATAAAAATTTAAAGACTTGTAGACGCTCAAGTCATCAATATTATTACATACACAGCATCTCTGTTATCTGGACCTTCTGTGTTTCTGAATTATAGGATGAAAATTTATTGTAGCACTTAAACATAGTGAGGAGGTACTAAGTTCTTATAGAAATGATTTGAGTAGAGCACAATTTTTAGCCCTCTTTCTGTTTTGCATTAGCAAGATAGCCTTTAGGTAGTTAAGTCAGATAATGAGTCAAGGTTAAGTGAAAAGTGTGTAACATAGGTATTTTTCATTCATAATCTAGGTCTATACTAGGTAAAGCAACTTCAGGACTTTAATGATTTTTTTCCTAATTGAAAACCATAGAGGAATCTCCTTTTCTCTTTTTATATTGTTTTACCTTTTAATTCGCATTGACACTTGACCCTCAGTTCTACAATATATATAGTTTATTTGGGGGATGCATTTGGAATTTTACTGTAACATCGGTCATCCTATAGCAGCACTAGGTTGATGATAGATTTTTCTTGGAGGCCATCCAAGAGGTTGTTACAAAAGACCAAAAGGACCTCATTATAAAGTGATTTTGCTATAAAATGGTCCCTTGGAATGATCCCTAGAGACAGCAGGTCATTTGTACAGTTAAAAGAGCATGTAGTGTCAAAAATCGTTACTAAGGGGTCCTTACCGCACACCATTAGTTTAAATAAATTCCAGATGAATTAACAAGTTGTGTAATGGCTTAATTCCATAAAAAGACTAGGAAAAACTATATAAGGAGATGTTAATGTGATCGGGGCAAGCAGACCTTTATGATTTCTGCTTTTGTAGATAGCCCTTGATGTGAAACAGACATTAAAAAAAAAAAACCCATCAACAAGTGGAGCCACGAATGGCATGTTACCCTCACCCAGCAGAGTGCTTGGTGGAAAGAGTCATTAGACTCAGCCTTGGAATGTTCTTTCCAATGTACCTGCAAGCAAAGGGATAAAGTATTTTTAAAGAGATTGGGACTGTCTAGAGTTTAAAAAATTTTTAAATAAAGGATCTTGAGTAACTTGAGTTTTCTCTTTAAATTTTCAAAAATTTAGAAAGGTAACACATTTTTTAAAAGCAAAAATACTATTACTACACATCGTTTTGTATTCTGCTTTCTTTTTTAACCCAATAACGTGTCATGAACTTCTTTTGAAATCAAAATATACCTGTACAATATCACTTTTCACGGCCATATAGTGTTTTACTCTATGGCTGTAGTCTGTGTTTCGCTTGTTTATTTTGGCCTCACTGCATGGCTTAGTGGGATCTTAGTTCCCCAATCAGGCATTGAACCCGGGCCCTCCGGCAGTGGAAGCGTGGAGTCCTAACCACTGGACTGCCAGGGAAGTCCCTATACTCCGTTTTTAAACAAATCCCTGTGTTTGGGCATTAGGTTGTTTCTAATTTTTCATTATTATAAGTGTATCCATCTGGGTCCAATCAGGAGAAAGAAATTTGAACATGGAAAATGTAGTGTACGGAATTATTAACTATAACGGGGTTAGAGTAATGAGGGGTTAGCCAGCAGGAAGTAAAGAGACAGAAATAACAGGTAGAAGGTGTAGTCACTCCCCTGTGGAGACAGAGCGCCCACAGCAGTACCCCCAGGGTTGAGGTGCAGGTCAGGTTGAGGAGGGCACAGCTGGGGTTCACTGGATTTCAGAGAAGTCGCTGTGGTGCCGAGCTGGCGGCACTGCCTGGAGATCGGTCCTTAGGGTACTAGGGAATACAGTGCCCAGGGAGGCGTCTAACTGGAGGCACTCTTCCGAAACTGCCCAAGGAGGGGGTGTGTTGGGAGACGTTGCTGGCCTTGGGGTGCTGCTGGCCACTGCCCACCAAGGGAGCTGTCAGCATGGCAGGAGTCTGTCAGGAGGGCACTGGAGCCAGGAAGCAAAACCCGTTTCCCCTGCAGTGTCTCTGCAGTCTCCTCCACCACCAAAGCTGGCAAAGGAAAAATTATTTAAAGGACCCAGATCTATTTTCACAGAGCAGTCAAAAAAGGGTGAACTTGGAGCTGAGAGACGATAAATGGAAAAGCGGCAAAGGAAGCAGTGTTTCAAGGAGTATCCTTGTATATACATCATGGCATACCATCCAGATGTTTTGTTGCACACATTTCCTAGATACAGAATTGATCAAGAGGTAGGCATGATTTGCTCTCTAGAAAGATGTGTTAACTATTCTCCTGTGACTTAGCCCTTAGAGCTTCTTCACACTTTACTTAAGCCTGGGTGTTAGCATTCTTGTTAATGCTTACAAATCTGATAAGTCAGGGGAAAAAAACCACCTCAGTATTGTTTTTTGTTGATATTTTTAAAAAATTAGTGATGTCAGAGCTTTTTCCTTTTTTATTCTTTTGGGCGTTTCCTATCTATATCCTTTGCCCATTTAAAAAATTGGAAGATTAAGTCTTATTGATTTGTACATGCTCTTTATATATCAAGTATCAGAATCTTTAAATGGTTATATAGTCAAATCTTACATTCATTTGTAATGTTTAAAATGTAATTCATCTGGAAATCATTTTAGTTTAAGGTCTGAGGGTTATAAGTGTTTAACTTTTTAATTTGGTTCCAATTGTTCCAATAATGTTAACTATTTTCTCTCGTCCTGACTGATTTCAAATGTTACTTTGATCATATATTGAATTGTGTCTATTTCTAGACTTTAAATTGTCTTGCTTTGGTTTTTAGTGAGTTAATTGTCTCACTTGTTCTTTTAGAACAGGACGCAGGCCTTGATGCCCTTTCCTCCATCATAAGTCGCCAGAAACAAATGGGGCAGGAAATTGGGAATGAACTGAATGAACAAAATGGTAAGAACACGTCTGAAATTGACCAGATTTGCCATTTAATATAAATGCTAAAGGCTTGTGTAATTTTTAAATGATTTTATTACAGAACACCTTAAGTAGTTTAACATCAGTGGGTTTTTACATTTAATAGTTTAATGCAATTGAGGGTGGTCTGTGGCAGATTTACATTGTAGTTACGAAACACTCGGAAAAGAAATTTGGTTAAAAGATGTCCAGTTTTCTGTAGCCGCTTTTAAAAATGCTTTGTTCTGTGACCTGCTTATCCTGTGGGCTCTCCTTACGTGGTCACGGGGTGAAGCGGCTCAGTGCGTCGTACGCCGGCGCAGAGGCAGGGCATGCTGAGTTGTCCTCTACACGGCGGGGGGCTGGGGGGCGTTGGCTCCTCTTCTGTCATAAGTACCAGGCTGCAGGGCCAAAAAAGAATACTTGAAGATTTTTTTGTTCAGGGCTTGATGTGACAAACCTGGCTGGAGAAAGATGAGTTTGCAAACCCACAAGCAGGATGGCTTGGGAGAGACAGAGCTTTTAGTCAGGAGCCTACCCAGAAGGCTCTTGTGCTTGAGGTATGCGGTTGAGGGTACCAGGGGCATGAATGGAATATGCAGCAGTAGGAGTGGAGAAGAGGGGATGGAGGCAGGGGACCGATGGTGCTTTCACCGCATGGACCCTGTCAGGGGAATGGGGGAGGGGGGGTCGCTGGTTTGTGAGTGGAGATCCTAAGTCCAATTTGGACCCATCCAATGAGAGATGCCAGTGAGGAATCTGAGTCACAGCGTCAAGTGGACAGTGGGAGATAAGGTACTAGAGCTTGGTGAGAGGACAGGACCAAAGGGAAGAGATGTGAGCAGCTTCAGCAGCGAGGTGCTGGGTGGAAGCAGAAGAATAGTTGAGTTTCAGTGAGGCAAGCGTTTATCGAAGGCCCCTACTAGGTGCTAAGCCCTTTAATCTGTGCCGTTTCATTTAATCAGCACATAGCACTGTGAAGGTGATGTTATTGCTGTTTGTCAGAGGTGAAGCCCAGAGTGGCTGAGGGACCCCGTAACGTCACCTCAGTTGTAAGGGATAGAAATGAAATTTCACCCTAGCTTCCTCTCTAAGCAAGACAAAGTGGGGAGAGAAAAGTAAAAAGTAAAAGGTTTCAGCTTGTGGTCATAGTATCATGGAGGCTCACGGTGGAACGGCTTTCAAGAAAGGTTACCCTGTATGGGCGAGCATTGGAGCCCTGGGAGTGGGCACGTGCTCGCTCCAAAGGGGGGCTGCACCTGTCAGGTTGTACAAGTCCCACTTCATCTCTACAAAGACTGAGTTCATCTGTTGCCACAGTACTATTCCATTCATCTGTCATAAATGAATAAAAAGTTAATTCTACCCATCTGCCATCTGTCATAAATAAATAGATCACCAAAGCAAATGGAGAAACCCTCTAGCTTTACCATCTTAATAGAGGTTCTTAATGGTTTAAGGACAGAGAGGAGGACAATTCAGTCCTTTCCTGATGGTGCTGATGTGAATGTACTAATTCATGTATTTGCATCTAACTCAGTTATTGGCCAGTTCCTTCCTTGAAAGACAGTATTCATTAGAAAATTAGCTCTGTAGGAAATCTGCCTGTCAGAGGTATAATTGTTCTTTATCCCAAGGAAATTTAGCCTGTTGAGTGGGTCAGTCTAGAAAGGACGCTAGCCACACACTGGTAAAGCACGTGCATCCTGTGATGTGCTCAGATAAGACATGTCTAGTAACCGTGGTCCACGGTCAAGGATGGATGGTGCCTACTTTGGTGAGGTGACTTGCTGACTTCCCGGATGAGGTCTCCGTGCATTTTCTTGCATAAGCAATCACACTGGCCTGTCCTTATCTTGTTCAGTAAGCACCATACTTTGCTGCGTATTAGAATCACCTGAGGACCTTCTCAGCCTCCAAAGCCCAGGCCATACCTGAGCTGGTTTTCTGTTGTTGCTGTAACGCATTACCACAAACTTAGTGGCTTCAGACAGTGCAACCCCCTCCTCATAGTTCTGGAGCTCTGAAGTCTGCTATGGGTCTCACTGGGCTAAAATCAGGTGTTGGAAAGGCTGCATCCCTTTCTGGAGGCTCTGGGGGAGAATTAATTTCCTTGCCTTTTCCAGTGTCTAGAGGCTGCCTGCATTCCTTGGCTTGTGGCCCCCTTCTCCACCTTCAAAGCCAGGAATGGTGGATTGAGTCCTTCTCGCATGGCATCACTCTGACCTCTAGCTTCTGTCTCCCTCTTCCTGTTTTAAGGACCTTTGTGATTATGTCAGGCTCACCCGGATAATCCAGAATAGTGTTCCTATTTAAGGTCAACTGATTTAGCAACCTTAATCCATCTGCAACCTAATGCCCCTTGGCCATGCAACCTAACATTCTCAGGTTTGGGGATGTAGATGTCTCTGGGGTGGGGGTGGGGGGGGCGCTGCTCTGCCCAAGCACCAGTACTTTTTTAAAGCTCCCCAGATGATTTCAGTAGGCTGCCAGGTTTGGGAACCAGTACCCCTGTTGAATATGCTGAGAGAATGTATTTAGTACTGTACTTTTCCCTTGCCTCTCGTATGCTCACATGACAGATGGAAAGCCCACCCATGCACAGACCATCCGCCTGGTTACATATTACACATCTGCCATCCTAGTCACGGAGACTCTCTCTTCCCATCACACGTTTTACCCCCATCCTTTTCACCTCTTCCTCCGTGCCTCCCCGGCCCTCATCTCCATTCTGGACCCGGATGCATATATATGTACATAGACAAACATGAGGTATTTTTCCATGAGTTGCCAAAATAAGCTGGGTTTTCTCTGTGGTGGCCTCCCACTGAGATTGCAGCTATGCTGGTGGTTTTCTGTTGTGCACATTTGCTCCTCAGAAATAGGGCAGAGTCAGCCATTTTCTTTCATAGGAACAGAGAGACTCTCTGAGGATAAAAATGATATCCCTGCTAGGACTGTGATCAGCCTTTATTCCTTTTGTCAAAGTCAAGAAGGCCATTATGTCTAGAGGTGTTGAGAACAGGCTTGCAGCCCCATCTGGATTTTTATTGTGACCCGAGTACATAATGAGGCGTCTGGGACCCGGGAGAAGGTTTCCACTTCTGGTTGTAAATATCTCTACTTGGTTTATTGACCTACTGAATTATTCTTTTGGTTTTCACTAATGAGAGAAACAATAGGCTAAGATACTGGCCAGCCAGGCCATTTTTGGAATCAAGTATCCAGACCTTACTAACAAAATACAATACATGGTACTGAGAGCATAACCACAAAGCCGAAGGGTTGAATTATCATCACTGTAGGAATCTTCTCATAGAGAGTTAAAAAGGGCCTGGCCCACACCAGTAATTACCCTGTTCCCATGCCAGTGACCAAGCCTAATGAGGAAGAGGATTGGCAGTTCAGTGAAAAGGCGGGTGATGGGAGACCTGCAGGTCTAGTGGATTTGGGGGGTTGGCAGCTGGTGAAGGTGGGGGGATGCAGGAGAGAGGGGTGGGTGGAGGGCTGAGCCAGGAAGATTGCCCCGTGGGACCACGGTTCACAGTGAACTGTACGGATGGCTGGGGGCAAAGGGTTCGTGTCAGGCTGACTGCCCAGATGCTGTTCCGAAGTGCAGCTGTGATAGTTTTACTGAAAAAGCCCTTAAAGCTCCTGCTCAAGAGGACAGGGCCTTTGGAAAGGAACACTAAAACAAGAAAATGAATGGGACTGACCTGACTGAAGTGTAGGTATTTGAGACCCGATTTGGGCATTGGCCAAGCTGTGAAGCCAGCACCGAGAAGAACCACGGCGGCCCGGTTCCGAGGGAGGAGACAGCCCCGGGAACAGGCTGCGTCACTAACCTCTGCCAGTGTGTGCTGGTCCTCCTCATTCTTTTTGATGTTCAAATATCCCAAATTCGGCCAGTCCTTTCGACGTTTCTCTGTCAATCTTTAAACCTTTCCTTGCTTTCTGGAAGAATCCACGGTGACAAGGAAGGCCACTGATCTCTACCGACAGCATAAGCACTGGGACTGAGGAGACCAGGGTGTCCTCTGAAAGAGCTAGACAAAATGATCAAAGATTTCACGTACACATCAGTGAATTACCACTGTAAGGGTCTGTTAGAGCTCCTAGCTGCATTTTCATGTTGAAAGCAATGTGGCAGGCTGAGTAATAGCCCCCAAAGATACCCACATCCTGATCTCTGGAATCTGTGTTTCCTTTTATGACACAAGGAACTTGGCAGGCGTGTTAATCCATTGAGGATCTTGAGACGGAGAGCTTATCCTGGATTATGTGGTTGGGGCCTAAATGTAATCACAGGTGTCCTTCTCAAAGGGAGAGGCCAAGGGACTTCCCCGGCAGTCCAGTGGTTAAGACTGCACTTCCATTGCAGGGGCCGTGGGTTCAATTCCTGGTCCCCACATGCCGCCAGGCGCGGCCCCGAAAAGAAAGAGGCCGAGAGAGCTTTGACATGGAAGCGTGGCCATGTGATGACTGACGCAAGGTGCTATGATACTGACTTCAAAGATAGAGGCAGGGATGCAGGGAAGACAGCTCTAGAAGCTAGAAAAAGCCAGGAAGTGAACTCTTCCCTAGAGCATCTGGAGGGACACCTTGATTTCAGTTGAGTGAAACTGATTTTGGACTTCTGATCTCCAGAACTATAAGCGAGCGATTGTGTATTGTTGTAAGCCACTAAGTGTGTAATCATTGTTAGAACAGCAACAGGAAACTGCTGTAGGTAATCATTGTCTTTTTGTCAGTTGTCAGTGAACTCAGGTTAACCCCTCTCATGCTAGAAAACATGTATTGACTCCTTCATGTGTCTAACTCCTCTTCCCTCTTGAGGAGCTTTCTTTGAAGGGGCTTCACAGAAGGAAGTTTGCAGTTCTGGGGCCCCAGTCAACCTCTCAAACTGCGTAGCACTTTAATAACAGAATTTAATTGCAGACTTTAGTCTTGTACTGGTGAAATGTGTGGGCGTTTGGGCGACAGAATCTTTGTGGAAT